TGAATCCTTTAATATTTCTAGAGTTGTAATTTGATTATACATCTATTTGGTTTACTTCTGAATTAAACAACTCAACATTGTGCATTAAGCATTAATGTTTAAGGCATAGCTAAAGCTGCAAAGCACTTATGCAATCATCCTTGACATAGTCAAGTGAAATAAATATTGTGATTTATGGATAATGCCCAAAATAGCACATTAGCCTTTCCCTCTTTACTTTGAACCCAATACATTATTAATGCCTGCTACATTACTGAACTTGTATCTTTTTAGAAAGTGTCAGGACAATAAATGAGAACTGCAGATTAATGTAACTGCAGACAGATCCAGCATTTATATATTTTTTTCAATGTTTAATGTTCACCACGGGAAATATACCATCATACTGTACATTAGAAGTATAAGCAACTCATGCTAAAAAGTATGCTTGTATCTTTAAGGGAATTCTTTAAACTGTTTCATATATACCAGTACCATAAACAAGCTTTCATTATACATAAATACCAATCATATGCTTATTTTTATAGCTAACATTCACATGCTTTGATGCCTCCTTTGAAATCTGGTATTTATACTAATGAGATAACACATTATGCAAAATATGTTTGCACAATAAATTGAGTAGTTGTGCTAAATTAAATTCTACGTAATTGACAAATTATAAATAATTCCTTAATAAGGTCTTGGTTCTTTTTTAATTTGCTGTAGAAGTCTAACAATTTCTAAATTATATCTATAATATTCTCCATTGCTATGTAATGTTTTAGTAAAACTAAAACACCAATATCAAGTGTTGACCATAGGTAAGCATCCAGTAGATGCCTTTGGTTATCTGTTGAACAGAAAGGACTGGTTACCTGGAAACATAATGTAGGAACGCCTAAAAGTGGGTGTTACAGGTGCTTAAATGGCCAGAGTTAAATACCACTTCATCCACCCAGAGAAGAGTTTTTTTTGTCCAAACAACAAATAGCTATACCACGATTACCATTAAATTGGGTAATAGTAACATCCCTTGGATGTTGGTCAAAAGTAAGATCCCATAGATGCACTTGGAAACCAAAGTAATCTGAATGTAACTTTCCTGGTTAAATATGTTGTTGTTGTTATTATTATTATTATAAGGAGGGTCCAAGTAAAATGCAATAAGTTCACTGTTAGTTGCAAATCTCAACTTATTTTGTGGTTATCTATATTCCATCTCTTGTGTTTTTATTAATAGATGTTAATATTTTTTCTATACATACTACTTGGTGGTCATGTTCCACATGTTGACTATGTATTGATTTTCTACCATTACATATATTAATTTTACTGTATGAACACTCTTAAAGAAACTATAGTATTAGCATTAGCACATATTCTTAGCTATATTTCAGTTATTGCCCCCCAATATTTTTATCCAGCCCCAAGAAAAAAAACAAAAATGGATACATATAATTTACCTTTAGTCTCCTGGTGTGCAGCTCGCCATGTGGTCCCACCATCTCCTTTAGGGAAGTATTGGGAGGTTAGCATGCATTTGTGGCAAATCAACGTACTGCACCATTTAGCATCTCCTCATAAAGATGCATTGAGTCAATACATCTCTGTGGGGATTGTTCATCATGCCCTACTATTGGCTGTCAGAGTGAAACATTGCCCTTTTCTCAGTACACTGCTGATGCTGCAAGCAATCTGTGGCCCCAAGATCCACTACATTATGCTGTAGTGGTTCTATTGCCTATAGTGTTCCTTTACTAAAAGCCCTACTAGCTCTTAATTCCTTTTTGCTGATGAATGATAGAATGCAAGGGCATTATTCTTAGTCCAAGCCTATGTAGGTAGGATGGGAATCCCATACACTATTAAATATGCTAAGTGTATCCAATATATTTAAGGCTACCAAGAGACCCACAAACTGAAGATCTCATGGCATAGTCTACATAGATGAGAAAAAGCCAAACTGTTACTAATATAAGCAATAATTCTTAACTGGTAGGTAAGTAAGTAATATAAATAGAAAATACAAAAAAGTGCTAAGTCTTTTAACTTTCAATGCTAGAAAATTAAAATGTATCAATTGTATCTGTACCTGCACACACAAAATATTAGAAAAAAGAAATGCTGCAAAATCAACCTCAAAAGTGATTCGCTAATCAATTTTTCATAAAGTGCAAACTTTCAAATATATACTTAAAAATCCAGTTGTAATACCACTTTTAATTTTTTTAAATATATATATTATTTTAAAGATATATATATGCAGTATATCTATCTATCTATCTATCTATCTATCTATATATATATATATATATATATATATATATATATATACAAACACACACACACACACATATACATGCATCTATATCTATCTTTAAAATGCTAAAAACACATTTATGATGCAGAATGTGTGATGTGTTTTGCCCATATCACATGTGTTTGCTCTGACCAGCCAGAGCCACATATCCCAGAGCCACTTCAGCCAGGCTCTGAGTACAAAAAGCACAAACATGAGAGGGAACTTCCTTTACAAATTATCCTTTGCCACTTACTGGGATCTGTAGGCCTATAGCAATGGGAAGAGAAGACAAGAGAAAGCTACAATATTTTTATTTCACAAATAAGTTTAGTGAAAACCACTTACTAAAAAAAATCTCACTCAAAAGTTCCATTCAATCAGCTTAAGATACATATCTGACTGACACCAATTCCTCCTTCATATTCATTCAAAGACAAGTATTAGTTTATACCAATATGATATGTCTTATTTGTCATTCTTAAATAAATGTGCTGATAATTACAATGTTATTTCATAACTGAATTTTAGAACACTTGCGAAACCATGAAAATATATCTTGATATCACTGCTAGAGCCATATTTATGGATCCAATTGATGCTATCCATCAAAATATCCACCCATATCTTTCAATGATGATAGTGAATATGAAATTAAGGAAATGTTTGGCTCTCATTTCAGATATAGGAGACTGAAGTGCCTATGGGTCTAAGAAAACATTTACGTTCTTACGTTCCTGATCTGGTATCCACCTTCCACGATTTTCATCCTGATAATCCATACCCAGACGCTCACTAGCTAGTATGTTCAGTTATGTACAGAAGTATGTCAGGATTTGCCTTTGTGCAGTATTTCTATTTTTAAAGATATGAGATAGCATTAGGAATGAATGCGGTTTTGCTTTGTCATCATTGTGATGTAATAATTAAGTTATTTAATTATCTCAAAATAAGTTTGCTTTCTACAAACTCTATGTTGACAAATACAGGACAATAAAAGGACACTGGAGTATCTTTAATGTTTGATGTATCGGATTATACTACAAATAAATATGGGGTGTATTAAGTGTTACTGGTTTTACTGTGGTAAAGAATTGAGAAATATATGAGGAGATCTAGTAGACCAGACAGGACATCAACCTACAATGGGTAATGAAAATCATCTTTAAGATGAAAAAAAGATGTGAAAATAATTTCAAAGAGTACATAAGGAGTTTAAAGAGAACTTGAACAAATGATAAACTCTAAATGATATGACTTCCTATTTACTGGTTTTGGAGTTTGCTTTCTCTTACATCCATTCTAGAATAATTCAATTGTTATTTACAGGACTCCACGTGTAGAGCAATAGAAAATGTATAATATAAGTGTAGGTGTTGTGTTTGATGTATGTGCATACAGACTTTACTACATTTAAGCTTTTTTGTAGTCTACATTATTTTACAAATGTGTGAAATTTGTCAAAGGTTCATACAGTAGGTATTATACTAGGAATAAGAACAATAATAACTCTGTTAGTTCAATCTCCTTGAATATTTTTTGTATTGAATCCTATTCAACTATGCATGACCATAGGCACTATAGATAGCAACAATCTGACAAACAAAGAATATTACTGATCTTTGTTAAGCAGACTACCATAAATTTTGATAAATACATTTTATCATCCTGGTTCGTTGCAGGATCATCATTAGGTATACAACACATACACGGTTCCATCAAGTCTTTATCACTCCATTCATATAATTCCCCAGTACCAGAAGGGAATCTGATGAGTTATCATCAGAAACAAAAGCCTCATAAAACGATAGAAAATCCATTTTCTCAGCAGTCGTGTTTTCTAGTAGTTTTCTCCCATTGTTTTTGTATTAGCTATATTACTCATACAGAAAACATACAGTAGTTGCTATTTATATGAAAATGATGCACAGTAATTATGATTATCCAGATCAACATGTTATTTGGCCCTTATAATTATTTGATTCAGAGAACTGTTACAGAATGTGATACATTTTATCTCTAGAAGTTGTTTTTGAGCAACAGGGCTACCAAGATAATCACGGCCAATATAAATGCGTTACTGTGTCTTGAAAGGTTCTTGGTGTAGTTATTCACAATAATGATTGTCTATCAAAGCATATGTGGCTCCTATTTTCATTACCAATGCTCCCAGAGTATGTCAGCTAAAGCATTAGCTTTATCAGTTTTTCTACATTTTGCAATAGAGTTTCATGTTCCCAATACAAAGTAATATATAAGGAATATCAGCTATGCCGCTGTGTAAATTTAGTTGATTCTGAAACATACGTTTTTGAATTTAAGGGTTATCCTCTTTCTTCACAAGAAAAACACATGAGATCTCATCTATGCATTAATATGATCAGCACGTGCCTTGTCTTAACATTTTAGTCATATCAAAATACTCAATACTCATATTATATATATAACCTTATTTTTACTAATGATTTGTCTACATATTTGTTTGCTTGTTATTAAAACATTATAGGCTGCGTGTCCTGACCGCTGGCAGGGACGGACGCGTGTGAGTGAGCTCCGCTCCATATTGGCCCAACAAAGCAACTCAACTTGTGTTTAAACTAGCACATTACCTACATCCACATATGGCCCAAAGCAAAGGGAAGAAGAACCCCGACAAAGGGGACAAAAGTGGCTTCTTCAAGAAATATCAAACAAACTGATCCGCAACTTCAACAGGTCCATGACTGACCTTAGAAAAGAGTTGGGGGAGAGAACCTCGCTCATGGAACACCGCATGGGTGAATATGCAGAAGCACATAATGACATGGCGGATCACGTCCAGAAACTCGAGCACCAACTTGAGACCTACCAAGTAAAGCTGATGGATATTGAAAACAGATCCCCCAGAAAAAATGTTAGGCTGCGAGGTATACCGGAAGATATACAGCAAGCTAATATCATGGAATTCCTGACGGGATACTTCAAAACTCTAGTCCCGGTCTTTCCCACTGAAACTTTGCTGATGGACCGTGCTCACAGGGTTGCAAAACCAAAATTCCTGCAGGAGGAGACTCCCAGGGCCTATACTAACCCACCTACACTACTTTCATGCCAAAGAAGCAATTATGAAAGCCTCTAGACAACGCCAAGATATCCCTGACAAATACCGCTCCATATAGCTTTTCACTGATCTTTCTGCACTCACACTACAGAAGAGACGGGAATACAAAGACATGACAGACGCCCTCCGAGCACAGAATTTGCCTTACAGGTGGGGGCATCTGGTCCGCCTGTTGATCCACAAAAACGGAACTCTGACTATGGTCACCCTCCTTGATGAAGGAAGGAAGGTCCTCAAGAGATGGAATATCCCGCTAAAACAAAGCAGGGACAAGCAAGCATCACTGCCCCGACTGCAGCCGGAATGGAAGAAGACGTGAACCTGAGGACTTAGCCTGATGGTTTACCCGCTAAAGCTGACATACCAACATGCAGAGGCTCCCGTGGTCTGAGTATCAATGCATAACATTGTTTTCTACCACAGATCTGAGTTTTATAATTTAATATGTTTACCTATGTTAATGCTGTTAACGCTGTCTGCCGTAGCCGCCAACGGTTGTCTATATGCCTCAAGACAGGAGCTACAGATCACCCCCACAGTACAAGGGTTCCTGCTATGGATGGGATGAGCGAAATACTGTTCTGTGTAAGGGGTATGCCTAGCAGAAATAGAGTAGGGGCACTGAAGCAAACAACTGAATCATCCAGGCCTTAACATGACGAACTCAGGATTCAATTTTCCACACAGCGATGCCCACTGACCTATTTACCCAAACCAGGGCTGCGCACTGAGACCGCCCAGGGGATTTGTATTATGCACTCTTTAACCATGCTCTGCACAATAACCTTGACCTGAACTCAAGCAAGGCATACCCAGGAGAGTAAGGCCCTAACCCAAAGGGTATGCAGCCCCAGCATCTATTCTTCCATGCTAATATTATTTTACATAACACACACAAAAACAAAAACAAAAATGTTTATTGCCTGTTGCAGAAAGTGGCTCCTGAATCCCCTCATATACCTGAGGAACGAGATTGGACAGGGAACCATAACCGTTACTTTCCCCAGCACAGAGTACCACGTTGGTTGCCAAATCCGTGCAATTGAAGCCCTGATGCACATGCTGAATCAGGCTCTAATTTCCTTAACCCCCTTATTACATGTTACTGGGTTTAGTACTCTTGTAAAATGTCTAGCATTACCTGCACTGGGAAAATTGTTATGTTACTGCATGCAAGCTAAGCTGACAGGCTGGTTCCCAATATAGATGAATGTTGGGTAGACAACCCCCTATGACAACTCAACTTCAAAAAGTACCACGCTCCCACATGGTACCTGGATTATGGGACATTTCCCATACTTGGGCATCAGTAGTGCTAACTACTCAACTTTTATGCTGTTATTCATGTTTCTTTAACCACCCCTCCTCTGTTAACTGTCACACACCCCTTAGTGTCTAATCTGCTGGCTCTAAGCCCAACATTCCGGACCATAACCATCATAAAACACGCCCGGCTTGGGCGACATCTTCTGTCATAAAATATCTGACGCTAAGCGTCATAGATCGAAGGCAAAACAAAACCACTGACTCCATAAAAATGAGACCTAGAGATCTGGCTTATCACCTTTTCTTAACCAATGCAAGGGCACACCTGTCTCAATGCACAAGGGGAATGTATGCAATTGACAGATGGGTTTTATTAGCAAAATGTTATGACAACATAATATGAAAATCCATTGCCATAATGTACGGGGCCTCAATACCCCTCTCAAATGCCACTGCCTTTTTCATGACCTGAAATGCACAAATCCAGACGTAGTATTTCTACAAGAGACACACCTCAAAGCGTCCCCTAACTCTAAACCCTCTCTTTACCTGTTTCAATATCACGCATTGACTGGACATAAAACCTGAGGTGTTTCTATCTTGACAAGTCACAATGTAGCATTCCAGCATCATGATTCACATCTGGACCATGAGGGCAGGTTTTTAATCCTAATATGCACTATAAACAACACAAAATTACACAATAGTCAATGTATATGCCCCTAACACAAATCAGAGGAACTTTCTACATAGGATGCTAACTAAGATCTCGCAAGTTCAGGAGGTCTCTGTGGAGACTTTAACCATATACTAGATTCTGATTGGGACTCTACTGACGTGGCATCCCTGGCTACACGAACACGTCAACAGAAAACCTGCACTAAGTATAATAAACTCCTTAGCACACACCATCTATGTGGAGAGTGACACACCCACAAGAGAAAGACTATACGTATTTCTCCTCTCCCCACAACACGTACAAAAGAATAGACAGATTCCATGTGGAATGGCAACATCTTGATCAAATTCTAGACTGCTCCACAGGATCCAACAGACTACTCAGCAATAACCATGACTGTTAAAGACACCTATGACTACAAACATAAAAGCCCCTGGTGTCTTAATGAATCTATCCTGCACAACCCCTCCTTCAAAACTGAAGTAGAAAACTCACTGAGGGAGTATTTCCTACTTAATCTAACCCAAGACATTTCTGCTAGTTCTATATGGCAGGCGCACAAAGCGGTCATAGGAGGCCTTTTTCAGAGGAAGATGTCACAATTCAAAAGAAACAGCCGAGCCCAATGGATGTTCTGGCACAAAAACCTACATAATCTCAGAACCCAAAATAAAGCCCAACCTAGCAGCAAGTTGCAGAAAGAGATCACTGATATACTGAACAAAATCAAAACACATACCCTAAAACAAGTAGGATTTAACCTCCGTAGATTGAAAGCCAACCAGTACTCGCAGGGCAACAAGGCAAGCAAAACACTAGCACTAAGACTGAAACAAAGAGAACACAATACTAAAATCCCATAAATTATAAACACCAACAATGAAAAAGTGATATCACCGTAGACATTAGCAATGCCTTTGCGTCATACTACGAAAATCTCTATAATCTAGCAAAATCTGATCACCTACATACACCAACTGACCCGGAGATAGAAAATTACTTTGTGGACGTTGTGCTACCACACCTCAATACTGACCAAATTGAGTCCCTCCAAAGCCCTATTTCCTTTGCTGAAATCGAACTCGCCATACAATCGCTGCCACCCCACAAAGCCCTAGGACTTGACGGGTTCACAAATTTATATTGTAAAAAATTCAAATCAGTGCTTGCACCCCCGCTAGCGTCCCTGTTTAACTCAGCAATACAAGAATGTTCCTTGCCCAAGGAACTCCTGCTAGCACATGTTATCTCACTCCCAAAACCCAGAAAACCACCGACCATACAGTGGTGATGGTGCACAACAATATTAGTGATAGTAATAGTATTCACTGTGGACATCTTATAAAGAGAAAAATATGCATCCGTGTTGTTTAATTAAGGTGCATACTAAGTGTGTCTAGCATTGATAATTGGTACACAACAGTGATTTGTGGTCAAACAAATATAATGAAAAAAATACTTGCAAATGGAATCACTCTGATATCTATAAAGGAAACAAAAGACAAAAGACGACTCCTAGTGCAACACAATATAGTACAAAATATATAAGGCACACTAGCTCTTTAAATGTCACACTCAATAGTATTCACTGTGGACATCTTATAAAGAGAAAAATATGCATCCGTGTTGTTTAATTAAGGTGCATACTAAGTGTGTCTAGCATTGATAATTGGTACACAACAGTGATTTGTGGTCAAACAAATATAATGAAAAAAATACTTGCAAATGGAATCACTCTGATATCTATAAAGGAAACAAAAGACAAAAGACGACTCCTAGTGCAACACAATATAGTACAAAATATGTAAGGCACAGTAGCTCTTTTAATGTCACACTCACAAAGTTGGAGTAGTAAAAGCACCACTTGTGGCTATGGCACCCAGGGAGGATCAGCCCCTAGAGTTCGTGGGATTCATGGGAAAAGACACTTGCAATCCAGATAGTAGGTAAGTATACTTTATTTGACAGAAATTTAAAAACAAAAATGCTGTAAAAAGTTCTCAGATCGAGTGGTTACCTGATCAGTGGCCCAACATTTTAATGAAGCAGGACATCGGGTTTCACAACTACAATTTTTGGGCCAAAGGCCAAATTTTTAAGCCAAAGGGAGATGTATTGGATATACAATTTACATACACTGTTTCCAAATAGCATGAATGATGATAGGGATTTTGCCTGCTTTAGATGATATATTTAGTCTTTTTAATATTTTCTGTTGGAAAATCTATCTACTTATTTTATATAAATATTTTTTATAGTTTTTCACACACGAGAAGGGTGACAGTGATCAGCAAGATCTGGAATAATTGGAAGTTCCTCAAGTTCAGTCCATAAAGAAACAGACACACTCACAGTGGATATGACAATTTTTTGCTCCTTGTATATTTTTTATTTTTTATGTACACATACTGTGGACTCAGGATTGGCTATTTCTTGCCCTGTGTCCATGGATTGGTTTACATCAATTTAATATTTTTTTATTTCTATTTTTTCTATTTTTGAGGATGTTGATACACACATCCATGAATCTCAGGGAATCTCCCGGGGACCCATGAGTCTGGTATCCCACACTCTGTTTTTTACTTTTTCTATTAATAAGTATTGTTTTTTTATTATTATTTATTTTATTATTATTAATATTTTTATATATTTTTGGGGGCTTGTGTTTTTTATTTTCTTACTTTATTCTATATTTTTGTTATATATGGGGCCCCATATGTATATTAAATTTTTAGTGTATATTATTTATATATGACTATGTGATAACCTTGTTTATTCTACTGTTTCCTCAATTGGTTAATTATGGAACAGTGTATTTATGACTTATAGTCTGTTGAAACCATGTCATGTATCATATTGTTTAATACTATACACTGTGCATTATGGATCCATTGTAATGTGGGTATTGTGTGCATTAGTGCTTGTTTACAACCCTGGATAATTTGGCCTAGATTACATAGATTCTGTGTATAGCATATATTTGCATGCACACAGCACTTTTATGATGTGCTGCAGGGGACTTGGAATGAACTGACCAATAGATAAAGTTTATAAATAGCCATTATGCCATAGA